TGCTGACGGCTCTTCTGTAAATGCCAATCAGTTCCTCTCTGGTCACTCCTGGATTATCCAGGAGATTGATCTATTGTCTGCTTTATTCCTTGGCTCCTGGATCTACATTGAGAGCAGACTCGTACATGAATGATTCTGTGGTCTTGCCAAATTTTTTAGAGGAGATGATGTGCACTCTACCACTTAGTCTACTTTGGCAGTTGACCAGTGCCACTTTCATATGTGGAGCTCAAAATCAACTCCTCTGCATTGCCACACTAGTTAATATCAAAGCTCCTTTCAGTCCAACATCTTGTCACTGAGATTAAAAATTAAGACATTTCAATGAGATGATAGAATTCTGTTAGTAGTCTGAACATCAATTATTTGGCTTCTTTAGAGATTTGAAGCCTCGCAAAGTGAGTGTTAACATCTATTGGGGGGAAGAGAATGAATCATAGAATCATAGAATTGTTTAGGTTGGAAAAGACCTTTAAGATCATCAAGTCCAACCGTTAACCTAACCCTGCCATCCCACCACTAAACCATGTCCCTAAGCAATGAGTGCTGATGGTTCTCAGACTATGTGGAGATCCAGTCTTGAATCACAAATCTTCTGTGGCTGACTTTGGTAATAAGCTGAAGAGTATGTTGCCTGGAGAGGCGCATCTCTTATCGGGTTTGGATTTGCCTTGGCATTTGAGGATCCCGTTGTGACTTAACTCTAGAAAGCTGAGTAACTGAGCTTGTATGACAAGTATGTGACAGAATTACTTGTGTACTGACTGTTTTGAATGAAAGGAATTTCTTTGAAGACCCTTCAAAAAGAGGTGGCTGAAGGTGACATTTCACCTCAGTTGAACCTTGGATGTGGACATAGTCCCACAAAATTGTTTTGAAAAAGTTGTAGTAATAGCTGCATTTGCTAGTTAGTTGCTGGATTTAACCCTGTAAGATTATTGCTCAGTCAAGAAAGCTAAAAGACAAAGTGTGTGGTGGAGCGGAGCCAGATGGCAAAAGTATAGTTACATTCAGATCCTCAAGCCCCATGTCAGATTTGCTGTCCTACAACCTCAGAGGATTCATTATGGAAGTACCTTTTTTCCTGTTTGTTAGGCAGAAATCACCCTTATTAGGATACAGAAAAAGAATATGCAGAATCACTTCTGTCAATATTGATGATAGCAGATACTTGTTCTGTACTTTTAGAATATCTGAGAAGTACTTGCATGGTTGTGGACTATTCAACACTGTAGATAAGGATGGAATGAATTTTCCAACTGTATGCTGCAAAATGTGTTTGTTTTTCTAGTGCAAGTTGCTCTAGGAGTAAATTACAAAAATTGGCTTGTCAGGAGAGACACCAACCCAGAAGTATAAGGCTGGATTTATACCTGAATTATATTTTATCGCGTGTCTTTTCTACCCTTCTGGTTTTCCTTCTGCGTGGTGTTTTTTGTTGTGGTTTTTTGTTTGGTTTGTTTTTAAGAATGACACTTAATGTATATTTATGTTGTTAAAATAATTCCTAGCTGTTGTATGTTGTAGGTACTTTTTGCTGTGTGTGAACTACTTCTTTTATGGAGAGACTGTAGCTGATTACTTTGCTACGTTTGTTCAGAGAAGAGAACAGCTTCAATTCCTAATTCGTTACCACAGATTTATTTCTTTTGCACTCTATTTAACAGGTAAGTGTAGGAAACTGAAAAAATGCAAGAACTTTGTGCTGCATTTGTTTCTGTTTCTAATTATTTATTTCTATTTGTTTCTATTTATTTTAAAAAATTATTTTTAAAAAAATGGCTTCCCAGATTTATGCATTTTCAGTTTCTTTTTCCTCTTGATGTTCAAGGAAATTAGGTGTTCACAGTTCCATTTTTCCTGTGGAAAAGACGAATATAAATTTTGCATTCACTGAGAAGAAAGCAGCCTAAACGAGTAGATGATCTTGAGAAAGTTGAGCTAATAGCGCTCAAGAGAAGTTAGTATGAATTAATTTTGATTGCCAAAGAACCAGGGCTCAGTACCTGAATACATGAGTGCTGTTTTGGCAGTCTGTGGAGGTGACTTGTATGTGTAATTGCTTGTGCTGGGTCGATGCTTTATTGTGCAAGTGTTCTGCTAGGTCTACAGCAATAAGATTTACCCATGTATTTTAAACTGATTATTCAAAATGCCCGAGGCTTTATTTTATCTGCAAGACATTCAGATGCTTGGCCTCGTGGACAGATTTTCCTCCCTATCCAAAGAAAGACTTTTTAAATCCTCTTCACTAGGAAGAATAGATATAAGCTGGCAGTCTCATGGGGTATTGCTTTGTGAAAATGTAAATATAGTCCATGTTGTTTTCAGCAATGCAGTTAATATTACTTCAGCCTAAAATTAAATCAGTTGAAGACTCAGATTGGTCTAAGGGACAGGAGACTGCTGTGCCAGAAATACTAGTGAAATATATTAAGAAACCTGATCTTCATGACAAACTGTCAGTCTGTCTACTGTTGGTTTGGTGTTTTTTTTTAAACCAGATAAAAACTCTACTTGGTGCTTAGATCACAAACTTGAAACCAGCTTTGCAAGACTTGACCTTTTTCAGCTGGCTTCGGCTTGAGGAAACTAACTTAACTAATGCCTCGTGACCGCTGAAGGGTGGTGAGGGTAGAGTTGAGACAAGGCAGTCAGGAGCAAAAGCAGGAGGCAGAGCGTAGCAGAGCCCCTTGGCAGCTGTTGCATTGGGATCATGGGGTCACTGAGGGGTGTCCCCAGGGTTAAGGGTCTTCTGAAGGCCTCTGACCCCTGCTGGTGCAGGAGGTTGTCCTAGGGGAGAAAAGGTGCTCGGTTAGCTGCCCAGAACGTCTCTTTCAGTCAGTTGAATTCTCCAACACCTGCCCTTCACGTTTGTGTTGCGTGCAGCTGTATACTTCTCAGGGGGAAAGGGGCAAGCCGGTCTTTTCCTTTCAATTATTTCTGTTAATTATTCAAAACCAGCTTGTCGACCTGGTTTTGGAGTGGTTTTTTAAAGGTGGTGGTCTCATCCCTTAAAAATTGATGTCTACAATAGGACCTTGTAAGTAATGAAATGGATGCTCTTTACTGACGTTAACTAAATCTTGTGCTCTAATGAGAATGCTTCTATATGTACATTTAACTGAATACAAGCAAATGCTCCTAGCAGCAGAGGGATTAAAAACTGCTCCAAGGGAAGACAATTACTGGTATATCACAGTGCAGTGTGAATAAATATAAGATGGTACAAACTACACTTGCTTTGTTTTACAGGCTTCTGCATGTTTGTTTTGAGTTTAGTGAAGAAACATTATCGTCTGCAGTTTTACATGGTGTGTATTACCCACTTTGCTGTGGTCACTCGCATTATTAATGTCACTAGAAACAGTCGTGTCCCTATGTTCATAAAATAGCTTGCAAAAAGGGGTGTGGAAAATGTGCTTAAACTGACAGTACCATGAAATCAAGTGGTGTTGGGCTGTTTGGTAACTGTTCACCTTGCAGCTTCTTATTATTGTATCATGGGATGTGGCCTTTCAATGTAATACAAGCTGTCGTTGGTGAGGCCTTGTGCATCCACAATGTGATATGTTTCCCTTAGTAACAGGCTGATACAAAAAACATTCCTGGAGAAAGGGGTGTGCATCTCCCTCCAAGGTCTGAAGCCAAATAGTTCAGCATAGCGTGGGAAGTTGTTCTTGTGACTCAAGTGATACTTTGTAGAGGCCCCGCTGAAGTACTCTGAAGGGAACTTGATCTTACGTGGAAGATTTATTCTGTGACACTTAACAGTTCTGGTCTTCTGCTCTGCTGTGCCGCAATAGATAGTTAATCTATTAAAAGAAGCCAGTGTTCTCATCTCTTGGATTTGTCTACCCAATAAACAGCATAGTAGCTAATCAAGAGCATGAACCTTTTTCTTCTCTGTATCTTATAGGTTGAAAACTAGTTTTGTAACATCACAGGTTAAAAAAAAACCCACCCAAAGCCAAACTAAACCCAAAAAACCCCACTGAACCCCCCCACTTCTATATAGGAATGATTAGAAGCAGCAGTAAAACAGTAATGCAGTACAGCTCCTGTCTTTAAAGAACTTGAGCAGTCAGGGCATTGCACAACCTTAAAGATTTCCTAAAGCTCCAGGGATGCAGTTAACCCCTCTGTTTCTACAGTGCTTTAGGTAGCACTTTACCACCGAGGATCCCTAATTCTAGACTAGGACTTAGCTGAGCCTTGTATGAACATGTAAAAAATCTTTTACTCAAAAAAATTTACCCTGTTTGTGGGAGAACTTGCCTGACAGGGAGATGCCACTTTTCTAGGGAGAGGTGGTCTTTATCTTCTAATCTGCAAAAACAGTCCTCTTCAGATTGGCACAAGGTAAATATATTCATTTTCCTTTCCTCACCCCACCCCCCCCTTTTTTCTCCTTCTGGAAAGAGGGCAGAAAAAAATCCATTGTCAGTCATATGACTTGGTGTCTGCCCAGAAAACATTAAGGTGTGTGACTACCTAAGAATTGCAGTAAAACAGGGAAGCTGCATAGCCACTGTGTGGCAACAGTGTTTGGACAGACAAGAAGAGTAGGCATTTGGTTTTAGGTGGTGTTCCAATATCACTGTACAAAAACTAAAAATTCTGCTGTGAAGATGCTTTAATTAACCAGCAGGTAATATTTTCAGAAACCTCTGGTCAGCTCTTGCACCCCCTCCTTTCAGCCTTCTTAAGTTGTCTTAGCTGGAAGCAGACACTGCCTGCCATAGGAAAACACATGTGATAAGAGAGTTAAAGAAGTAGGACCTTCCAAGTGTTAAATTGTCCAGACATTTTGAGTGCTTAAACTTCATATTTCATGGAAAAACTCCTAGTTCTTGATTTAAAAGTTTTTGGAATATAAAATCTATCGTAGAATCTTTACTGGTAAACTTTGGTAACCACGTTATTGTACACTGGCACTACAGAATAAACATGAAGTATGTACAGTAGTGCTGAGGAAAATGACTGTTTAAATGACCATGTGCATAAAAATTGACACTTTGTTTTCACTAATCTTGAGAATTTTCATGTTTCATAAGAGTACTGGTATTCTGAGAGATATCTACATCTGTGTAACATGACTCTTTCATGAGTAGTTCATTGCCATTTTATTGTTACAGTTCTAACATGTCTGTTGTATGTAACATATACAGAATATCACATTGCTTACATTTCTTTGCTGCTTTCATGCTGAAGGTGTAGGTCTTATTAAATCAGATGTTAAACTGCATGTTAAAAAATTCTGGGTGGAGGTAAGTGACGGGGAAACCTGTTAAAGTTTCAATACTTGCTTCAGAAAGCCAGCTAACTTGTGATATACTGTATGCACACATCTCTTGCATTATCACTAGGACTCGTCTTCCCTGTGAGCTCCTAAGTAGCTCATCTAGCTGACATGCCAGTATTTATCAAGGTGTACGGATCGGTGTTTTCACTAACTGTTGTGTTGTTGCATTGTTAACAGTTCGCATGGACTCATGTCACTTTGCTGATCACTGTAACTCAATCTCATCTTGTCATCCAAAATCTCTTTGAAGGCATGATCTGGTAAGGGGACAGTAATGAACTGATTTGTAACTCTATTGCGTTGAAAGGTTGGTTCTTTTACATAGATCTGGTTAGGGAATAATTGTGGGAACAGTTAAAGCAGCACAGATTAAAGGACCATTAATGTCTGGTTGGAAGGGGAGTTGGAGCAATTGGGAGCGATGAGGTAAAGGATACAGGAGAGGAAGCAGAAACCTCTTTAACTAGATTGGCAGCCACAAGTATGATAGTTTTGAACAACCACTTCATTTACTTGCAAGGAATAGGATTGCTTGCGTACTTGGTGAAATAGCTTCCGTAGCATTTTGCTGAATGGATGAATGTCCAGCAATTCTTTTTCAATTACTTGGGAGCTTCAGGTTGCTCAGACCTATTGAAGTTGGACCATTTCGTTTGAAATCCCCAATCCAGACAGCTTCCCTACCACCTTCCCTGCTCAGATAAGTTGAGATTACTTAAAATATTTTAAGATTTTAAATCTTGGATGTTGCTGGGTCATCTTTAATGCTCCATTTCCAGCAATATATTAAATTCTGATGATGCAGTTAAACTTGATTACTTACAACTGCTCCTCGAAGAGAGAGTGTGTTTTCTCACCCCCAGCTTCTTTAGGGACAGGGTAAATTACGAGTTGAGAAAGAAGGAAGAAGCACATGGAAGATGATTTGTGTTCTTCCAAGGACATAATACTGCATGTTCTTCTTTTCCTTTTCCTGATATATATATACAGCTGGGGAGATTATTGCAGAAAAGACGTGCTTGTAGTTGGAAAGAAAACCCAAAGCCTTTGACAAAGTTTGTATAAACCAAATCTTTTCATAGCGAATCATGTTCATGTGCCAAAAACTGAACCTAGTTGCCTTGTTAGCCTACTATTTCTTATTTCCACTGGTGCCAGGCAATTTGGCAGATGGTCACGAAATCTGACTTTTAGCTTATTAATACATCCCTGCTTTGAAAAGGGAAAAAAAAAATGTTAACAGGCTTGAGTAACAAATTCAGATGCTGTCTGCACGCAAACAACACTTAGAAAGCTAACACAGGCTGCTCCAAACTGACAAGAGGAAAGAAAGGAAAACTTTTTAAAAATTTAGGTATCGTTAAATGTTACAAGGAATTTGCTTGCTTTAATGTTACCTTTAACATTAACATGTTTATATCTGTTGATTTCTGTTGTACCAGCCTTCAAGCCTGATAAGGAAGAAGCCTGTTCATGTTTTAAGCTCATGCCCCAAAATCATATTTTGACTTGAACTAACATGGATCTGTAACGGTCTTGATTGGCTGAACACTAAAACTGTATAGCTAAATACGCTACTCATGGGGGAACTAGGTGAACACATTATGAAACATAATTCCTTCTAAATACTACAGAAAAGTTTCCCAGAAAGAAATGCTGCTGTTTCAATTTTTGTCCTGTGTTTAAGTTTGGGCAGCTTTTCTTTTTCTCCATGAAACTTTGAATGTCTTTCTCTAGGTTTCTGGTTCCAATTTCAAGTGTTATCTGCAATGATATTACTGCTTACATTTTTGGATTCTTCTTTGGCAGAACTCCATTAATTAAGGTATGTACTTAGGCACTTCCTCACTAACAAGCTTTTACAATTTATAGCATTTTTGATACTTGCTCAAAAACACGTTCATGGAAAAAATACTTTCTGCTGTACTGCATGTTACATATCTTTGCTAAAAAAACAAATTGACTATCCTGTTTCTGAAGATTTGTAAGTGGAAACTGGGATTAATATGAATGTAATATTGATATTTCTGTATAATACAGTTTGAGCCTATTGCATCATCATTTATAATCACTTGCTTTTTGGATTTCATATGCAGGTTTAACTGCATGCTTACTGTATAGAAACTATAATTTGAAACAGGCTGCTAGGTCACATATACCTGTTCCTCATCTGGGCTCATTGGTGTAGCACGGAGGAGGGCTGAAGTAGTAATCTTCCTATTCCACTAGAATATGCAAGACCCTACAGAAAGCCATGAATTATTATTTTCATGATGTTGCCATGTTAACTTTTGGGTATTTTGTTGGTTCTGTTATTAAACTGCTTTTAAATGGAAAACCTGATAGAATTTGATGAAGAAAATAGCTTGCTATGCCGGTCTGTCTAGGCCTGCATTTATCTGCTGTATTAGTTTGATGGTCTGTATGTAGGAAGCTAGTGTCTCCCAAGGAGCATCCCCAGCAGTAGTTGTCTAACACCCAGGCTTCTGTTGCTATCTAAACGTGCACTTGCTAACAGGGGTCTCCAACAGAGCCATAGCGTGCTCATGCAGGTTTCCAAGTCTTCTGCTCGAAGGAGCACAACTGATTAATCAGGGACAGCTGTGGCTAGAGGCAGGCAGCAGCCTCCAAAGAGCAGGAGCAGTTCCCTCCAGCTGCCCAGTGGCACCAAGCAAATGGTGGCATTTTCCCTCCTTGCCTGGGACAGGTCCTAGCCATACTCCTCCAGTTATGTTCAGTGGCTGCAGCTGCTGACGTTCAGTATTTCACACATACCTTTGAAAAACTGGGTAGGAGCTTAGTTTTCACCAACAAGGTACAGAAATAGAGTAATAAAGGATTCAGTGATGCAACTGATGAGGCTAACGCTATCTCTTTTGTGCCTAGCTGTCTCCCAAGAAGACCTGGGAAGGGTTCATTGGAGGCTTCTTTTCCACAGTTATATTTGGATTTATTGTAAGTAACCACAGAACTTTCCTTGTATATGTTCAGTCTTCAACTTCCTGGTTTTACTTGAAATAAAATTACTGACCAATTCGGTTATCTCAAACTGCTGAAAGCCTAAGAGTTAGGGTTTTTTTTGGCTAGAGAATTCTGCCAATTCATAACTAGCTGGAAAGACTAGCAAGGCAAGGCTTGCACACTCCTGAATAGGTTTATATTGACCATTTTTGCCATTACTGTTACTATATCTGGAATTGTTTTATCTATTAGTTGCATCCTTATTTTGAAATTGAAGTCTGACAGCATTATTTATGCTTTGTAAAGTAGTACTTCTGTATTACATACTTTATAATGACATTTCTCCTGAGAAGTAGTTTATGCTGATGATATGCATAGAAGATAGTAACAGTACACAGTAACTGTTCTGATGAGTTCTGCTGACCTTGGTGATAAATTACTTATAACTGCCAAACTTGGTAGAAGCGATAGTTCAATTTTTAATGGAGAGTTTTTAACTTTTACAGAGTCTTAACTGCAAAGAAATGATAAGTGCCTAATGTTTTGGGATTTTATAATGCAAAATTATCCAGTAGATATGAATCTGAGAGATATGAAAAGGAAAACAAGTTGGGAGATCATCACTGAGCGCATTGAACGTCCACATTTGTCTGCCTTGTTGAGGCGTTCTCTAACTTAAACAGGCCAATTCTACTTCATTCTGGGTCTCTGTTATTAAAAAGATTTTTACTATCCTCAGCTTGCAATGAGAAAGCCATCCATTACAGTATGATTTTTGACTGTAACAACAAATGCCTATTTCAGGAGTCCTTGTTTTGCTTTTCAGTTTTCCTATTTTTTGGCTCAACATCAGTACTTTGTCTGCCCTGTGGAATATAACAGTGAAACCAACAGATTTGTGACAGAGTGTGAACCTTCAGAGCTCTTTCAGATGAAGAAGTACTCTGTGCCGCCATTGCTTCAGGCTATGTTGGGATGGGTAAGGAAAAAACCAAGGCTTTGGTTAAAATTGAAATTGTACTTCCCAGCTTGAATGGTTTTCTAAACCCCTTTAGAAAGGTATGTGAATGCTGGTGTGGCTTGAAGGGTAAGAACTGAATCGCTACCATGAGCCTTTCCGTTGCTTAGGCAGAGGAGGTGGTCACCCAAGCAGAATTGAAATGCAATGCTGGAGTCACCCGAGGAAACCCGCCTGCGTTCTTGTGGCCTGTACTCTCTTTGTGCTGGAAATGGATGTCACTTAAACATTTTGCAGACAAACCTATTTTTGAAGAGCAACCTTTACATTTTTGTGGAACGTGGACAAAGTCTTGTCATGGCCCAAATTAGTAGCAAGCTTAAGTGATCTTGCAGAACGTCATTCCGTTTTGCTAGTGTGTAACTGTTAGGATTGGACTCTCTTCACCACATAGCACCTTGTTAGTGCCATTACTTCCATGCTGAGTGAAAAAGGAGTACCAGTAATGGTTCCTTGTAATGTAGTCACCAACCCTTTTCCTCACACCCAGTCTGCAAATTCTTTTAAAGTGAGCTGTTGAATCTTTACCTGTCAGGAAACAGGTCATAGATTATCCTACTATACAAAGCAGTGCTTCTGAAGTCACAGGCTCCAGACGCGCTCCAACAGGAAGAGAATACCAAATAGAAACAAAGCAGTCTGTCATTATCTTTCCTTTAGGGCAAAGAGAAGGTGACTGGGATAAAGGCAGAACAAGAGGGTTCTGCAGCGCTCCCCTCGCCTGCGCCATGGCTCGGCATGGAGGGCGAGCACACAGCGCTAGGGAAGGCAGTGGGCTTTACCTGCGGTTAAACGGTGCAACACTGAAGGAGAAAAGTCGATGTGTTTACAAGAAGTAAGCACAAAATGGAAACTGTAGCAACCAAAGCATAAGACTAAAAGTAATTAATGGCTACAGTTGGTACTTTGAAAAGTAAGATTACCTCTAGAAGGAGCTCTGATATTTTCATACCAAATGAATGTACCCTTGCTTCAGGGACTACGGGGTTGATTGAAAATGTAATAAGGATTGTTCTGCGCAAAAACATAATGTGGACTGAGCAGAGAGAACTCTTGCTGTGTCCAGCTATATTGTTTATGTTGGTAAAGGACAAGGAGATGGAAACACCCAGCTCTGTGCCGGTCTAATGGAGAGCTTTCAATAACCCTAAAAAGAGATGGTTGTTCCACATGCACTTCTGCAGTACTTTTGCCAGGCTCTAACAAGCCTTTTGAGGATAGATCTCATTTTAGCACTCTTTCAATAAAGTAAAATTGAATCTACTTGTTTGGGCAACAGCCTGTTTTTTTATTTTTCCCTCCTACTCGACTCCTGATGTTGTCTCTTAGAAATATGACTACATGTTATGTTTGGAAGATGTTTTGCTTGGTGTCAAAAGATGTCGAGCCTTGTTCTCCCAACAAAATTGACTTAATTCCAACACATAAGCTCTTCTGTTTGACCAACTGAATAGTTTAGCCTAAAAGAAAGGTGTCTTAAAATAACTGCACAAAGCAGTCAACAAGTTAATTGATGTTGGCCAGCTATGATGCAAGTCAGAAACACAAGGTACAGGGTTTTTCAGCTACAGATTGTGTTTATCAAGACTTTACGGGTGAGGTGGGCTCTGTTTTCAGGGATGAGGCCAGCGTAGCATTCCCTCAGAGGCTGGAGCTTGTACCATTGACTTGAAAGTGCTGAAAGCTAAGTTACAAAAAAAAAACCCACCCCACAACCAACCCCAAAACCAGAAAACTGAAACAATGCAAAAAAACCCCAAACAAAAACCACAACAAATCCAAAACACCCTTTTTTCTAATCTGTGTCAGGAAGGAAAACAGGTACCTGTTGCCAGTGAAGTCTCTTCTCTGCAAGGACTTGAACAGATCAAAACAAATTTCAAGTCTGTGAACAGGCTGAGGGGAATAATATCTGTTTAAATGCAAACCAAAAAGTATTAATGGGGGTAAATCTTCTATCTCCCATTATTGCTGTATGTACGCAAAGGTATGGCAGACTAGTGCAAAATTCATATCTGTCTCGTGAGGGCACTTGAAAGAAGTGACGGTGAATTGCGTGAAGGTGACAAGTTTGTGGAGAGTATTGGGCCACGTACTAGAGCAGTACTAAGAATGTGCAGAAAGCTCCTTTGTTTACAGAAAATGGAGCTGGAAAAGCAGAGCCAGGAAAGATCAGTGTCTCCCATCATACGTTAGTAGTTATATTCCTTATGCTCAGCTAAGGGGTTGGCTGAAACCACATTGTTTGTTAAAATTAACTGCTCTAGCAACCCCAAATACTTCATCCTGTTCACAGCAGCTTTCTACAATGTGTCTACTTTTCCTTTCTTTACAGTATTACTTTGTGTCAGGAAAACTGGAGCTTTGTGGAAATTCGCACTGAGATGGCCCCGTTTGAAAATATTTAAGCTTAAAATGCCTACAATCGAACATATTGAAACACAATGCTAATTATTTTTCTTGTAGGAAACAGTGAATATGTACCCATTTCAGATGCACAGCATTGCCCTGTCAACATTTGCCTCATTAATTGGGCCATTTGGAGGATTCTTCGCCAGTGGATTTAAAAGAGCTTTCAAAATCAAGGTGTGTAATGACTCCTGTAAGCTGGTTTTGTTTTGGGTTTCTCTTTGAATTAGATAAATTGGTGGGTTGGGTTTGTTGCTTTTTTATCATTCATTGTAGTACCTAGCGTTTCTACTAAGGTGCAATGATGTTTGAACTGGTTTTTAGCATCAGCAGCAGTATTTAGTTTTATCAGACATATGTATGTGTTATTCTTAAAACTTTGCGTGATCAACATGTGACTTGTGTTGGAAATCTACGAATAATTTGGTTTCATATTTTGGTTGATAATTACTCTTCCAAGTCGTGTTGCAGAAGTAGTTTTGACAAGCGAGGTGTGAGATACTATACTTGACATGAAAGGCAATCTGTAGATGCCTAAGAAGCACCAACGGTGGTTTACCCTTCAGACTGTGGCTGGCTGTGCTTTACCGATAGTGTTTGTGTCGTACGCAGATGCTGACGTGTCAGGCTCACCAAAGCATGGGGTGTTTGGCTGCCTTTGCCAGTACAGTGCCGCCTTGTAACGAGAGTGTGTATTGGCAAACGATGTGACGTGCTAACCTCTGTTTATTGCAAGGTGTGCTCTGTCGCTTGTGGCAGTGTTGTCCCTGGCTGGTATTAAGTGGCAGCAGGAGTATGGGAAGAGGGCAGCCCCAAATTTTCTCCCGACCTTCTTTATGTCTTGGTAGGACTGCTGTAATTCTTATCCTGTTGCTTGTTGTTGTTCTTCTTGTTGTTCCCTATGTCCACCAGTTTTGGCATGTGCTTTGCACAGAAGCATATAAACCTCTCTGTTTGTGCTGAACTCCCATACACGTGCTTGTACTTACCCCTCTTTCTTATGCCGGTCCGAGCAGCTTGTCTGGCACTCTGCTGGCTACAGCCTCGTGCGCTGTCGTACCTGTACGTCCAGGTAGCAAAAGACTGTGTCTTTTTTTTTTTTTTTTTTTTTTTTTTTTTTTTTTTTTTTTTTTTGTGTGTGTGTGTGTGTGAAGAAGGACTTTGGGGTGAAAAAGGCTTCTGAAAAACAGCACTTATTCTCAAAGTAGAACATTAAAAGATTGATTTTTTTTCAATTATTTTTTTTTAAATACTTCTGGACCCCAAGGTGGTGACCAAAGGACTATCAGGAAGACAGGGATATTGTGGAATAGTTATTGAAGGCAGTGGGTAAGTTAGGTTGGACACTCTATGCCTGCCCAGCCAGCACTGGAGGGCTGGAGTGGCACTGGCACAGGACTGGTTTAAGTTGATGGCAGTCACCCCACATAACTAAGGTCAGGGTTTTCACACAGCAAGTACACAAGTGAGTGTGGATGACAAAAAGGATATATGTGGGTAGTTTGACTGATAAAGCTGTTCTACAGACAAGATCAGGTAACACAAAGGTAGTGTATTGAGCTTTGTTTGCATCAGAATTTTTTTAAGTAGTGATATTTTTCACTACAGGGTGTTTTGATTCTGTTAAATATATTTATATTGTGTGCACACATTATGGTTTTTAACTATGGATACCAAGAACTCAGTGGAAAAAACCAGCAGGGGGGTGGGCAGTATGACTTGGAAAGCCAGTGCTAGACAGTGGAAAGAGTCCTGAGGTTACTGCTTCTCTTGTAGCAAATATATATTCCCTGGTAACAAGTGCTTCAGCAGCAGCTACCAGTAGAGGATAAAGCAATAAAAGTATTAAAGAGGAGAATTAGATTCTGCAGAGGGAAGAAACGACAGCCATTAGCTTAAGAGGCTTGCTACAAAATGAAGTGTATATATAGGCACGCGAGCGTACTCAGTACTGGCAAACCTGCACCTGACCTACCGCTGTCCTCCTGTGTGATACTGTGGACAAGTTGCTTCATCTCTTCTTTCTCTTGTCACCCCTTGACTCACCTTTGCGGTTAAAAACTTCTTTAGCAAAGGCGGCTTTTGCTAACTTTTGGCTCAATGCAGTGAAATCATAACTTAATTGCGGCCTTAGCGTGCTGCTGTCAAGTGATACAACGTTAGTGTGTTTTATCGGAATCACTGACTGATTTTTTTTTTTTTTTTTTTTTCCCCTCCCCCCGCCCTCCCTGTCCTTCACACCCAAAAGGACTTTGCAGACACAATCCCCGGGCATGGTGGGATAATGGATCGCTTTGACTGTCAGTACTTGATGGCCACTTTTGTTCACGTCTATATCACCAGTTTCATAAGGTATGGGCTTTTTACAATATTAACTACGTAAGCTTGCATAGGAGCTGTACCATAGTTACTTCATACAAATTGTGTTTTGCATTGTTAGCATAGTGGAGATTGCCGGTTTCTAAATCTGATTTATGCAATGATTTCAAATACAGAACTATTAAGAAAACATATGTGTCTGCCTAGGATTTGTGTCGGGTTCAAGCTATGCCTTAACGTTTCTGTGCCTGCTGTGAAAGGTAACCTGTGTACCCTACATACCAGAAAGTTTTGTGAAGCAGCCTCTTAGAAGTTTTACTAGAATTTACTGATTACAAGGAAGTATGAGGATGGGGTTTGGGGCAGGAGGCTGCTGCTGCTGCATGTGCTTTCCCTGAGTAGTTCCTCCAGAGCCAGTAGGTTGCAAGACTGCAGTTCTTCCTGTGAGTTTCAGTATTCCTGTTGCTTGATGTGGCATTTTCTGTTTAAAATGAAAACACTATGGTTAAAGAGAGGAGACAACTTCTTAAAAATACTGCTCGTCTTCCCTGAACCACACCAGCTTTCAAGAAGAAATCACGGGAATGGCAGTTCTCTTACAGTCAGTCAGTCATAGTTCCCGGGGCAGGGGGATCAAGGAGCTGTAGGTGTCCAAACTGACACATGCCCTTAGTTTTGTAAATGCATGTGGCTAAATAATTGTCAGGTATCTAATCAGCAACAGATTTTTCACCTCTTAATTTGTCCATCTTAGAAGTAGACTGTAAATAAGTGACTAGCTAAAAGTGAGGCTGTTATTTAGAAAAGCTTGGTTTAATTCGCAGTTTTCTTTATCGACTTGGCCAACTTCCCATTTAGTTCAGTAGCACACAGCTTATCTGGCAACAGATACTAAACTAATACAGATCTGTTGATGGAAAATGTTGATTACAGTGATTAAGGATGAATCGGTGGTTCTTAGTTGTCATAAGCCTTCTTAATATCCCCATTTGACAGCAAATATAAGAAATCCTTTTTCAGTTCTGTTCAGATGGAGATAAGGAGTATGCTTTGCCAGTAATGCTTGTCCATACATGCTGAGGAGATAAACTGGGAGAAATCCATAACTTGGTGTCCCCAAAAGAGGGAAAGCATTGTTTGTGCAGCAAGAGGAAAATGGAAAGCTGTCAAAGTTTCTTTAGAGCTGCTGCTCACACACAAAAAAACCTTTCTTTTTTCATTTGCAGGGGTCCAAATCCCAGCAAACTACTGAAACAGCTGTTGATACTTCAGCCTGAGCAACAACTAAGTGTGTATAAAACCCTGAAATCTCACCTTGTTGAAAAAGGGATCCTGCAGCCATCTCTGTGAGGGTACTTCGTCATAACGGAGGACTAGAAGAAACCTCCGTTTACAAGAAGCCTGTGGAAAAGCACTGCAAATGTGCACATAGATAACAGCTAAAGGAAGAGTAGTCTGTGGTCTGGAAGAGGTGAATGTTTTCTGAAATGAATGTGAATGCTGTGACTTCCTGTTAGGACACAGAAGATCTCTTACTCCTAAAATAATTAAAATGCTTGCAAAGTAACAGTAAACGTGCTGTATATTTTAGTTCCTGAAGTGGATAGCAGCAGTCTTCCTTCAGCACCCAGCCTGACAGGATTTGTATTTAACAAAAAAAAGTCACTTAGTTTTTAATGAGTTATTTAATATTGTGTATCTTAGCAATACTGGTTTGGTCTCCAGCGGTTACTGAAGTGTAAACAGATCAGGCAGGCAGTCACTTTTATGTAGCCCAGTGCTGAAATTACCATTGGCCAGAAAACACATGTTCGCCGGGTCAAAGAGGTACTCTCAGCCTGCTGGATCACACTACCTGTATTTACTAAATTGCTATGAAGGTTAAACTTAGCTCTGTTTTTAAACAAACAGCTTTCTTATGGAACTATTTCATGCTTTCAAGAGAAAACTACCTTTACTGAAGCATACCTGGGCTGTTTGGGCTGTGGGGCTGCTGGTTTTTTGGTTAATGTTACAGATTATAAACAAGCATCTACATCAGAGAGTAGAGATTGTCTGAGAAAATGGGATTCTCCAACCCAGTAAACAGATGGGGGAGAATCTGGAGTTTAAGCCCTTGGTTTCCACAGCCAGTGTCAGAAGACGGTAATTCAAAGCCTTATTCCTTGTGCCTCTTAACTACCGCGGAGAATGGGGGTATTTCCTTCTTTTTTAAAAGCACTTTGAGGTCCTGAGTAAAAAGTGAAGTTTAAGTTTTATTAAGGTGTTATGCTGTTTTATTAACGTGTTACTCAGCGAGGGCAGAAACTTTTATCTCATGAATGTGCACAGTACAAGACAGGATGCACGGTTCTGCTGCTGTGCGTGTTGTTATTTATTAAGAAGATGCTCAATTAAGCTTGGGTAACTACACAGGTGTTTGGAGGATTTTTATAGAAAGCGGCTGTTCTGTAGACTTAGTGGGGCGTATGAGGAAAGCTGATGCGCTGTAATTCTCAATCCTAGCTGTTTTCTAACTTTTTTCATCATGTGACATGTCTTGATGCAAATAAAAGTACAAACTTTTCTTGAAATGATAAAAATGACTCCTGTACAAATAGAAAGCACAAATGCCAATTTTGTTTTGGTATACTGTAACTTGATGCAATTTAAGTTTTCCTACTAATTGTAAATAAGTTTCTCCCGTGCTGAACATACAGATGCCACACGTGTGTGTGTGTGTATATATATAAAATATTAAGAGGTGTATATATATATTAAAGGTGAAAATTTTAAACGGTTGGTGCTACTTGAGGATAGAACCACAGAGAAAATCACTAGGGTGGGTGATAAGCTGTACCTGTAAAATCCAGGCTGCTTTGTGTTGAATGCCGTGCAGCTGAGACCACCGTGCACTCTGTTTCGCACTTAGGCCGTGGTAGCGTGTGTACAGCTTATCTGTGGAAAAGCGCCCCTGTACGTGGCTGGGACACGGCATCCGGGGCTAAAGTAATTCCTGTTTGGCAGAATTAGGTGATGTCTGACCTGGAGAGCACAGTGCTGTACCAAAGGAATGCTCCAAGGGGCTTGTCCCGCCGACAGTGGCCCTGCGACTTGGCTCATGGATTGGAGGCGACCAAATTTCAGCCTTTCTGCCGGAAGGGCAGCATAGCCTGAGGCGAAAAGGTAGCACAGCCAGGGAGCGGGACACAGGGAAAGGCGCTGGAAAAAGAAGGGAAGGGGAAGTGAGAGGGCGACCAAAGTAGCATACCTGGAACACTAACTTTTAGGTGAGGCTTTGGTTATGTATGGGACGTTGGTAGATGCTTATGAAAGAACACAACTGTACTGGAGCTGGTGTATCTTTATCCTGGGTATTTAAAAAAAATTTAAAATTTTAAAATTATATATAGAATATATGTATAGAAAGGTAATTGTTACTTTGGAAATTTGAACTTTTTAGTGTAATTTTATAGCATGTATAATAAGGAAGTTTAAAATATATTTTGGCATTTAATACAACAGAGCATTTGAAATTAATTGCTATCTATTTGCACAACAAAGTTCAACACTGCAGTTGTGCTGTTCAACGTTAAAATGAAGACGGGATCGCTTGTGAAGTCACTCATCAATTTTCTGCATGGAGTAATAGCTTCCCGCTGGCTTAGGCTTGGTGTAAATACGGCTCAGCAGGACCCGTCACCGTGAAGCGACAACTACGCTTGCTTACTATGAAGTGCATTTACCCCGCCCTGTTAGTTCCAGCACTGCAACGTCATCAACAGGAAAATTTTTTACACCAGTGATTCTTTTCACTTGCACTTTTGTTCCAAGTTGCTATAAGTACCCGTTGAACAAAAAAAAAAATGTATATTATGTAAATATTGTAAATGGTATGAGCATACAATGTCTGGTTTAGTTTGACTGTTCAATCTTTCACTGAAGCAGGAGTTGTGAAAAAAAAAAAAAAAAAATAAAACCCGGACAGAAATCCTCCTGTCTTGTATTTCCTACAGCATGCACAGCGGGCAGAGATTTCTTAACAACAATTCATGTTCCTTTATATTTATTCCTTAATGTTGTGTTCTTAGTAGCAAAGCCTGCTATTAATTTCCTACCTTTTGCCCCTCAAGGCTTCAGGCCATCCCTGGCTGTTGCTGCCAGCAACGTGTACGATGTGCCGCATCTCCGAAGGCATGCAAGCTTGCCGGCTTTTCCAAAAGGCGCTTGCTCACTTCACCATCGCATGCTCCCCCCTGCCCCGCCCCACGTGGATGGTGCCCGGTGTGCCCGCTTACCTGCAGCGACGCTTTCGTGGCCCTCTGCAGCTACCTCCCTCCGTGCAGGAAACGCTGTGGCCTCCACCACATGCCTGTGAGGGGCTGGAAGCGGCTGCCGTGGGCGCCGCGGCCTGATCCTGCCTCTCCTGGTTCTCCCCGTGCTCCACAAGCCGGAGGAGAGGCCACTCAACTGGGCCAGTCCTGGGAGTGCTGGGGTTAATTCCCACCAGTGCTGCTGGGAGGGCGCTTCCCGGGAAGGCCAGGCAGGACTTTCTCTGGTGCCTGGGCCCCCGCGGAGCCAGAAGGGTGGCACTGCTGCTCCTGGCCACCACTGGTCCCTCTTGCTGCCACACCAGGCTTCTGCAAAGAAACGGCAGAGGGGGGCGGGCATGGCAATGCCAAGGCTAAAGCTCCTGCATGGGGGAGGCTCTGTGGCTCCTATTCCCGCCCTGCCACGTTCTGCCTCTGGAAACATGAGTAATCTTTCCATTTTCTTGGTGTCAAGGGTTGTGAAATTTTCTTGTTTGAGAACCCCACTTCCCATTCATTACCCCGGTGCTGCTGGCACAGGCCTGTCAGTGTTCACCGCGCGTGGGGACGATGGGGCGGCAACTGCCTCTCCCCTGCTTTCCTGTTCCCTCCCTTTCAAGCCTTGGCTCCGAGGCCCTTCACCCCCTGCAGCCTCAAAAAGCCAGGTAACAAATGCATCTCGTTTCTAAATTACAAAGATGGCTGTAACAGCTGTTAAACACTCACCATCAGGAACTCAGGTCTGTGCCATGCACCTCCTCAGACTTGAGGAAACTACTGGAGAAGCAGAGGGAGAGCTTTCCCGTAGCCTGCATCTGCTTCCTGACGCTCTCCTGAGGAAAGGAAGGGGAAAAGTTAGCAGTGAGTTTTCTCCTGCTGGACAGACAATGTTTTGGACTGCTACTTGCACAGAAACAGGGAATTTTTACCTTCAACAGACGAAGCCCTTTCAGGGCGCACTCGCTGAGGCAGCTGCAAGGAGCTGCTTTCAGGGGTACCAGCGTAGCAGTGGCCTGGCCGGGCAGCCAAAGTAGTTCTTGTTCGTGCAGTTGCGGCAGAGAGAATTAGTGGCTTTTGGGTTTTTTTAAAAACGTTGACGTCAGTTGTCCTACATAACTTTTAAGCCACACTGCATGGAGTCCCTTTGTCCAGCCTGTCCTAGAACCTGCACGTAGCTGAGGTACGATTGCTCTGTCTCTTGCAAATAGTTTCTCAATTATAAAATGAATACTCAATTCCATGGTTTAGCAATCATCTCAAATTGAATAAACTTAGACGTGAGGCCTGTGTCTGACAGGATTCCAGAAACAGGCAGTAGAGGCAGCGTCGCTCCTAAACACAGAATCGTGGAACTGTAGAATCATTTGGATTGGAAAAGGCTCTCGAGATCATTGAGTCCAACCATCGACCTAACGCTGCCGTGTCCGCCATTAATGGGGTGAATACTACAGGCACTGTGATTTGTTCCTTGCGTACCTATCGCACCCTGGCTTCCCAACACTGGTGCTTGTTCTGCGCGTTGCAGGGACGCGTTCTGGTCTCTAAAGGCACAGGTGAGAAAGCCCGGTATTATTAGGATTTCGTTAGCACAGACATGTCTTCTGCAAGTGAGGACGAAAAGGCAACATATTCCCATAGGGAAGCCAAGCTATAAAGCTTCAGCCCCATTTGATTGCCACCAGCTCACTCGTGCCTGCCGAAGTCGAGGTGCAACAGCAGCAGTTTGCTTCCTCAGGTGGTTGCTGCTCCCGTGCAAAGCGACCGGGCCGGCTGCCCCCCACCCCCCCAGGAGGCACTCACGTTTTGGGCTAATCCCATGGCAGGTTTCAGGGCAAGAGGATAGGGTTTTTCAATTCTGCTGAGAGGGCCCCACTCTTTGATCACAGGAAATTAAATACTTATGCTATCTGGCAGGAGTTGTGCACGCCTCTAAAGAAAACATAGCGAGAGCTCTAATTGCCCAACGGTGGCTCATATGAGCTCCGTAACTGGGGGTGACCCTTGGGGGTTTGTATGTACTCGAAGGGCGTGTGTAGCTCTGCGGACTTTGACCTTGCTGCT